ACTGGGGTTCAGGGCCCCTACCTTGCTGGGCACTCAGCCCTCCTCCCTGCTCCCAGCACTGGGGTTCAGGGCCCCTACCTTGCTGAGGCAGCACCTCCCGATCATCTGCAGCAGCTCGTTCGTCCTCTCGGGCTCGTGACCGGCCACGATGCGGGCGGGCTTTGCAGACAGCGGCTCTCCTGACACCATCACCACCACGTCTATGGCCTTCTGAAGGAAGCTGATTTTCGCGTCTTTATCCTGAAGTGTTTCCATTTAAAAACAAAGATTAAAATACTTCAAAAAGCGTTTACATTATCTTCAATACACACCACAGGCATAACATAACTGCTGTTTATATAAAATGTTATTTTAAATGTGTGCCAAATTTATAATTACTGACTCTATTAACAGACAAAAATAATTCATGAAAGCTTTTAACTTAAGTCATCTTGCTAGCATTAACCTTTGACATACTAATTTCATTTCTCAGAGGTTAAGATTACCACAACATGGGACATCAGGGTCCAACCATCCGTCACAGCAGCGTGTAAATGCTGCCCGCTGCCGTACATGGCCTGCAAAAGCAGCCCCGCTCGTCCAGGCAAGGGTGGGGGAGAAGGCCCCGCTCAAACCCACCTTGACATTGTCGGACTTCATCTCGGCATCTGTGTAGAGGCCCTTCATGAAACCAGTCATTCGAATCACCTTCAAAAGACAAAGAGGGTCCGTCGTACACACCCCACAGAAGCCTCTTCACCAGCCGCATCTGCTGAACCTCGCGGCTGGGGGCTTTCCAAATCTACCGGCACCAAAACTCGGATTCAATCACTTACCCGACAAGTAACTAAGCAGATACCAGGTGTGGGTGGCATGCCAGGGAGAACTTAGCCTGGTCGTCGCCACGGGACAGACAGACAGACAGACCCTGCTCTGATGGAAGAAGTGCAGGGTGCTAGGGTGTCCATATCTAAACTGAGAGCAGAAGGCTTACAGGAGCAAGGGAGTTGGGGGAGGCATTTTGGAAGCATGTACTTACTGGACAGCAGAAAGTGTCCCTACAAGGCCCAGGGCCAAGAGGGTTCAAAAGGAGTTCCAGTCAGGGAGAGCCTGAGCCAGAGACACCTGGGGCCTGACCCGGACAGCCTTCGAAGCACCACAGGGACATGAACTTAGTCCAAAGACCACGAGGAGCCCTAAAAGGTTCTAAAGTGGGGAAAGACCCAACTAGCAAGGCGTTTTACAAGGGCCACTCAGCGGCAGTGCAGAGAATGGATCCCGGAAAGAAAAGCGACTTCTCCGCCTGCATTTCCACCATCACCACCTGTGCCCCTACACCTCAGGATGGGGTGCCCTGCTCCACATCGCTTCTGTGTTCTTCCCCCCACCGCCTCGGTGAACCTGCACCTCCCGCTCACCCGAAGACCAGCTTTCAGGCTGGTGCTCACACACGCCCTGGGTTCTCTCAGACCAGTTCTTCAAAACATGGCTGTTACCGTAACATCCATTAATGGATGTTAAAAAAAAAGCAACAAGCTTTTTTTTTTTAAAATGAAACATAATAGAAAATATGAGACTGCATGGTACACAGCGAGGACAAGTATGCGGACAAGCATGCATACGTGTGTACCCTGGGCCAGACAGAAAGTGTGTTTCTCAGTTGTTGTTGTTGCCATCAACTCCACTCCAACTCACAGAGCCCTTAAGTAAGACAGAACAAAACGCTGCCCAGCCCTGTGCCATCTTCATGACCATCGGTACATCTGAACACAATATTCACAGACAGTGAAGAATTTTCATAGGAGGCTCTTCACCTGTTACCTGAAAATGCTTTTCCCATACGGCAATAATTCTAACATCATTCTCATGTAGGTGGCAATTAGCATATGTATTTTTAGACAGGTGGAGGAACTGTTTTCAGTATTTTAAAAAAAAAAACCCCACTGCCATTGAGTTGATTCCGACTCATGGTGACCCCACATGTTACAGAGTAGAGCCATGCTCCATAGGGTTTTCTTGGCTGTAATCTCAATGGAAGCAGACTGCCAGGCCTTCTGTGGCACTGCTAGGTGGGTTCAAACTGCCAACCTTTAGGTTAGCAGCTGAGTGCAAAGCATTGTCGCCACCTTAGATTAGCAAAATCCCGTGGGAGACGAGGCAGATTAGTCAGTCCTGATTCGGAATGCATCACGTCTTCCACACAACCCGTCCACTTGGCCAACGAGTCAATTCCTGCTGGAACTCTCCTGCTTTTGTGTCCCATTAGGATGCTCCAGCCCCACTAGAGAGATTCTGGGCCCGGCAGTGTGCTGAGCACATGGCAGCCCTGACAGACCCTCTGCCAACCTCCTTCAGGGCTACATTTTCCTGGGGGGACAGGACTAACACGGAGGATGAAAGCATAGACCAGAGGCACCCGTGGCGCTGTCGGTGCACCCAGCTCACACTGGCTCACTCCTACTGGGCCCCCTCAGCTCAGGGCGCCACCTGCCTCCTCCACAGGGCAACTGGGACACAGCACACTCCCACCCGAGTCTCAACACAGCGGCTCTGTCACTTCGCCAAAGTGCGGGACAGGCTGGGAGAGCAGCACCAGCTTAGGGGAGAGGAGACCAGTGCAGACAGCACTTGGGGTTGGATGGGACCTGAGAGAGGTTTTAGGCACTGCAGGGTTTTTAACTGAGGCACTCCCGGGGGGCACAGGTGATCAACAAAGGTGAGATGGCAGAGACGGTAAAGAAAAGTCTGGGGGAGAGTCAGGTGAGCAGCCTGGGAGAGCGGGAGAAGAAGAGCAGGAGGCCTGACAGGACCAGGGATAAGGGCCGCGAGCCCGCAAGTTCAATCTGACTCCTGGTTCCCAGAGAGCACATCCTCGTGCAATGCCCGCCTGCAAGTGCACCCGAGAAACGGGCACTGCCACCCCCCACAGACACCCTCCCCCAAGGGTTACTAAGAGCCTTGACCGATTCCATTCACCGAGCCGAAGTTTGTTGCACAGCTTCTATGTACTGCACCTTACTCAGGGCAGTTCGCCCGGGACACACCAACAGAGAAGTTCCAGTCTCTGTGGTTCAGGAGCTCACAATCCAGTGGGGAAAACCACCCCCCGCCTGTCTGTGTCGTACCGTGGTGGCTTGCGTGTTGCTATGATGCTGGAAGCAATGCCACTGGTGTTTTAAATACCAGCAGGGTCACCCATGGTGGACAGGTTTCAGCAGAACTTCTAGACTAAGACAGACTTGCCTGGTCATCTACTTCCGAAATTAGACAACGAAAGCTCTACGGATCACAACAGAGTACTGTACAGTAAAGTGCTGGAAGATGAGCCCCTGAGCTGGAAGGCACTTAAAACAGTGGCCTCAACAACGGACGCGGGCATGCCGACAGTCATGAAGGTGACAGGACCAGGTAACATTCTACTGTGTTGTGCACGAGGTTGCTGTGAGCCGGAGCCAACTCCACGGCAACTAACCATGAGGATAACCACAGTCGGGAAAAGGTACACAGAAGGCCACTATCTGCTTGAATCAGGCTTATCATCAAGCACTGAATTCGTTTTACAGTTTTTCCTTTCAAGCCTCCCTACAACTATCTCCAATAAAATCACCAGCGGGTATTTATTAAGCTTGCAATGTGGTCACCATTATGTCTTGCAGGGTGGAGGGACGCTTTAACAAAACAACTCCATTCCCCAGAGTTTACTGAGCACCTTCCCCGTGCAAGGGCCTGCAGGACCCCGGGAGGACAGCAGCAGGCCCCTCCCGGGCAGAGAAGGGAAATCAGAGAGACAAGCGTGGAGGACCAGCTGTAACTAAACACACTGGTAGGCAGGAAAGCAGAGAATGCTCCCCGAAGGGCCGGGGTATGGGTGAGGAGGAGGGCAGGGGCGAGGGCAGCAATTCTCGCAGAAGGCACCGCGCGGCTAACAGGTTGGGCCCAGTGGCCGCCCCTCCGGCTGCAGGTCAGGCCAAAGGCCGATCTCCGCGGGCAGGGGCCGCGCAGAGCAACTGAGGCGCCCGCCGCCACCCAGACCGGGGCAGAGCCCCGATCTGCACCCCCAGCCCGCAACCTTGGCCCTGATGCCAGCCTCAACTGCGCGCCCTGGCCTCAACCCCCGGCCCCAAACTGCACCCCGCCCTGCACCCGAGGCCCGACCCCGATCCCTGTCTGCACCCCGGCATCGACCCCGACCCGCACCCGGACGCCAGCCAGCACACTGGCCCCGGCCCCTAGCTCCCAGGGCGCACCCGACTCCGGCCTGCACCTCGACCACGGCCCGCAACCCCGACCCCCGCCCGCACCCCGAACCCCGTCCGCACTCTGACCCCGGCCCGCATCCCAGACCCCGGCCCGCACCCCCGACCCCGGCCCTCACTCTGACCCCGGCCCACACCCCGACCCTGGCCCGCACCCCGACCCGGATCCGCTCCCCGGCCCTGTCCCGCACCCCCGACCCCGGCCCGGGCCGGCGCCCACCTCCGTGATGATGTCGTGCAGGTAGCGGAACGGGGGCTTGCTCAGCAACTTCTCCGTCAGCGGCGGCCTCCGGATCACCTTGCCCAGCGCATCCTGCGTCCGCCTCACCACTGACGCGTTCATGGCGGCGCCCACGCGCGGCCCGCCCGGCCTGAGCCCCGCTCTCTGCCCCCAGCTCCCGGCCCAGCCGCCCTGGCCCGCCTAGACGCGCCGCCCGGCTTCCGTCCCACAGTGCCCGGCGGCCGCCACCGCGCATGCGCGCCGCGCGGTCCGTCGCTAGGGCAGCGCGGCCTTAGCAACGGACGCGCCGCCGCTCTGTTCGCTGGACCCTTGCTGGGGAAAGCGGCCGGGTGGAGGCGGCAGCTGGGTCCTCGCCTTCTGCGCGTGGAACGACAGCGCCATTTCACTGAACCCTCATGGCATGTGGAGAGCAGATGCTCACCCCCGTTATAGGACTGGTTGTGAGGACTAGTTAGCAACAACATCTCCTCCAACATCTTTATTGCCCGTTTCACAAACGGCCAAGGCTTTCGGAGGCATTGGTTCACTGGAAGAGCTGGACTGAACTATCCCAAAAGACAATGAATACAAATGCCCTCCTCCATCTGTAACTTACTATGGCTTCTTGGGCGAGTAACTTGCCTTCCCTGAGATCCCATTTGTTTCCATAAAACAGGGATAATAATGTGGCTGTCTGCCTTACCTACCCCCCAGGATCCAAACTGTACCAGTTACCGTCAAGTTGACTCCGATTCATGGGGACCCCGTGTGTGTGTCAGAGTAGAACTGTGCTCTAGTGGGTTTTCAATGGCTGATTCTTCAGAAGTAGATCACCAGGCCTTTCTTCCAAGGCAGCTCTGGGGAGACTTGAACCTCCAACCTTCCAGTTAGCAGCTGAGCGCTTAAAGTTTGCACCACCCAGAGACTCCAGCCAGGGTGGTGCAAATGGAACGACCTAGGTGAGGAGACCCCATGGAGGCCCTGCACTGCACCGAGGGCACGGGCCTGACTGCCCACTTTGGCACTCAGGGCCATCAGAGTACCCCCAGCCCAGGCATGTCCAGGCATCAGAGTCTCTGAGAGACGCTAGCAGCATCCAGGACAAAAAAGCAGAGCACTGGACCCCTCAGAGAGCCTGACAGGGGTCGACCAGGGAGTGGACCATCTCCCTGGACAAGGAAGCCTCCAGGAGCACGGATTCTCTCCAGGCCCAGCCATCCGCCGAGTCCTGCTATGCGAGTCCACCCCTCCACACGAGAGGGCACAAGCAGGGCTGAGAAGAGACAGCCAAGGACTCCAGATGCAAGAAAAAGACCTGGAACCAGCACTCAGTGGAGCCAGAGGGAGGGGCTGGGTGGGTGGCGGGGGCTGCCTAGCCTACATTACCCCCAAGCTCCTCAAAGTGCCGTGAAAGCACTGGGGGAAGAGGCCGAGAATATGAAAACAAGTCATTCATAAAAAAGAATCGATTGAATGACTATACAAAAACACAGAGAGAAAGTGTTTGACAAAAGCCTGGCAGGAGAGGCTTTGGAAATCAGCTGTTTCAGAATGAATGAATGAGATTACCAGGGCCATGACTCACTCGGGGAGAAAGAGCCCCACAAAGCCTTGCCTCCCCAAGCCCAGCCAACAGGGAGGCAAGCATTCCCACAGACAAAGGCTTGGGGAGACTGGCTTGGCCCAACCCTGAGCTCCTCCTCTGCCCAGAGCCCAGAATGTGGGTCAGCTGCAGGGAAGGCTGGGGAGCAGTGACAAGAGAGGGGGAGAGAGTAGGGCCACCTGATCAGCCCTAGACCCACAAACGCAGCAGAGAGTTACAGCTAGGGTTGCCAGAGAAAATATAGGACATCCAGTTAAACTTGAAACCCAGATAAACATCAAATAATTTCTTAGTATAGGTATATCCCAAGCAACATTTAGGATATGCTTATACTAAAAATTTGGAACCCTGGTGGCTCAGCAGCTAGTCGAGTGCTTTAACCAAAAGGTCAGCGGTTCAAACCTACCAGGCGCGCCTCAAGAGAAGGATGTGGCAGTCTGCTTCCATAAAGATTACAGCCTTGGAAACCCTATTGGGCAGTTCTACTCTGATCTATAGGGTCGCTATGAGTTGGAATCGACTTGATAGCAGGGGTTATACTAAAATTTTATTCCTTGTTTATTTGAACTTCAAGTTTAACTGGGCATCCTGTGCTTTTATTTGCTGCAACTGACCACCCCAGCTGTGGCAGCAAATGCCTGTTCACCAGGCCCAGGAAGCCCCGCGGAGCCCATTTCTCCCACAAGTGGGAACTCTCTCCCGTGCCTGCTGCATTCTGCTTTGGGATATGAAATCAGGTCTCCGGCCTTCAAATGTCTGCGTGGCCATCCCTGAATCTTCCTTTCTGGCACAGTAACAACCACACTGGAAGTTATTATTCCAGACTCGAGAGACGCCATGCCCTCTGTCCCACCAGGCCCTTCCCTGGAGACTTCCGTACTTCGCACCTTATAGCGAAGGGTTGGGGTCTTGGTCATATCCCCCACAAAAAGGCCTTTGAGCAGTCCATGTCATTTTCCCATCAATCTTTAAGCTCTGCTGGTCAGTAGCTTCTCTTGGGGGAGGGATGTAAGTTCTGCCCCACCAAGCACCCCACGGCACCCCCTCTTTGACCGAGCCATTGTAAATGCTGCAAACAGGGCAGCAGAGCTGGGAGACCTGCTCGTTTGCCAACAAACACAGGCCCAGCCCACCGCTGAGGTGGGGACCCAGCGAGCCCCCACTGGGAGGTGCAGAGGAACCTCAGATATCTTCAGGGATCTCCTAACCACACTCCTGCTGACTGGTCTCCACTCTGACCCAGGGCACACCGATCAGATTTTATTATTATAATTGTATTGCTATTATAAAGGCCAAGGTATTTAAAGCCTGAGAAATGTTCTCTGTAGCTTCAGGGACCAGCTCTCAGGCAGCTAAAGCTGATACAGTCCCTGCCCATGCAGCCCCTGAACCCCATTCTCTGACTGGAAAATGTCTATTTTATGAGTCTTGAGGGGGTGAGACTGCTTCCCATTTTGGGAGCCGAGAATGGAAAAGGTCATGGTCCCAGCTTGCCTTGCGGCTGGGGCTTGTCACGTGACCTGGCTCCACCAATCGCAGGCACTCCTGCATCAGACTTTGCCTCAGGAGCCCACAGCACAAGAAGGCAGGGCCCGGAGCTCACGCTCCCCTCTCTCACACTCACTCTAGCCGTGAGCAGGGCAAGAGCAGGTTGCGCTGCTGGCACGAAAGTGCCTGTGGTGCAAGCTCACCTCCAATGCCGTGTGGTTTGGGGTTCCGCTACTGGCACCAGATTCAAGCAAGTATGGTGAGACGTCATCTCACATACTTTGGACATGTTATCAAGAGGGACCAGTCCCTGGAGAAGGACATCAAGCTTGGTAAAGTAGAGGGTCAGTGAAAAAGAGGAAGACCCTCAACGAGGTGGATTATCACGGTGGCTATAACAACAGGCTCAAGCATAACAACAATTGTGAGGACGGTGCAGGACTGCACAGCGTTTCCTTCTGTTGTACATGGGGTTGCTGTGAGTTGAAACTGACTCGATGACACCTAACAACAACAACAAAGGTAGGGAAATATTTTGTGTTATACTCACACGAGAGACAACAACCTCTCTGAACAGACGCATACACATAGAGGACTTACAACTTCAATCCTTCAGCTTCATCCAAAGGTCAAAAATGAACACAAAAGCTCACCAGTCCAGATCTCAAAGAGCTGTCCTCCGTTCCAGTGGGCATGAAATATTCATTGAGTTGACTCACGAATAGACAAACAGGCAAACCAACAACAAGACCAACCATCTGGATTCGCTGCCCTCTGTCATCCACAGATGCTAGATCTCCACCATCCACCCAACAGATAACACCAGACAGTCAACCACAGAACCAAATCTGCATCGTTGCGTCACCAATAAAAAATACTTATTGGCCAGGAGTGGCCAGGAATGAATGAGAAATAAAAACAAAAGTAAAAAAAAAAACAGTAGGAAAAGGAGAGAATCAGGGAAGTTAGAGTTCTTTTGCTGCTTGGGTTCTCTCCAGGAACCAAGAGGTGCCTGGGCTTAAACAGCCCATGAGGTAAACTTCTCTGGCGCCACAGGTTACTTGGCTCAGCAGGGTAGTCCAAGTTGGCATCTCAGTGGAAACTCCAAAATGGCCAAAGTGTAATTTTCCAGAAGGTAAAGTCAGGACTCTCTTGCAAATATAAAACGACCACTTGTGAAAGATTTTTTTCAATTCATTGAATTAATGAAGAAACTAGTAAGATGTTCAAACCAACTCAAAGGACACTTGAGAAGCTAGGGATGTTGGAGGACCAGGGACACCCTTGTGGCTGGAGAGAAATGAGTGACAGAGAGAGAATGGAGGAGGGAGGTCTATCCCTGCAGCCCTTGCAGACAGAGGTAAGGACCTTGGCTTTTTTACTGAGTGTGTAGGAGAGCTGGCTATGTTTCCAAGACATATGTTGTTGAGAACAGACTTGCAGAGAGTAAGAAACAGGAAGATGAGTTAGGAAGCCATTGCAATGATCCAAGCCAGAGGTGATGGTGACGACAGCTATTTCTGGGTCCAAGAGAACAACGGATGGAAGACGGTACTCCACAACAACCATCAACCTTGACTACTTGGGGGTGTGGTGACACCTGAGACTTACATCTCTCTCCACCATCTTTCCAGGCTGATGACTGGATATTAAAAGACCTTCTGAAATAGATTCCGGAGCTTACAAGGACAGTACTTATAGTGAACTCCAGTACTTCTCATCTTTTTGTCTGTCCAGAATGTGACGACACCACCATTTTCCTGGTGGCCTGCTCCTTTTCTTTTAAATTTATTTCTCAATAAATCGTAACATTTAAAATCAGAAACAAAAGTTGAAAATTAAGTTGTCAGAGGAGACCCCCGTGTAGGGAGAACTGCAATATTGGAATGGCTTCTTGGAAAACAGAGTCCCAGATGTCAATTAACATGCGACTCTCCTCTGATCGGGTCGTGAATGAGACAGGTTTACCAAGACTGGGGAGCGGGGAGCCCTCCCTGGATCCACAGTCAGATTATCTGTCATCTGCTGCAGC